GAGATTAACAAGGTGTCAAAAATGAAGTATAAAATAGGTGCCCATAAGATTGAGAACCTAGTAGATGGCATGTACAATGTCCCTATAGAGATCTTAAAAAAAGGCTTTTCTCATTGGGAAAATGCCTTGGTTGGATACTTCATTGATAAAAGATTCTCTTTCCATTATGTGAAAACTTGGGCAGAGAAACTTTGGGGAAATTTGCTTGAAGATGTTGTCTCCATTGATAATGGGTTTTTTATTTTTAAAGTAAAAAGTGAAGAGGCTATAGACAAAATTTTGGAAGATGGCCCCTATTACGTTGGGGCTAGATTGATTGTTGTTAAAAAATGGCAACTTGGACTAAAACTAACAAAGTGTGAATTTTCGAGTGTGCCGTTGTGGGTGAAGTTGTATAATGTTCCTTTGGAGCTTTGGACTGAAGAAGGTTTGGGTTACATTGCTAGCATCATGGGAACTCCTCTTTATTTGGATGAGCCTACGTTCAAGAGAAGCAGACTTACGTTTGCGAGAATATGTATTGAAGTGCCAGCAAATAAAGAGATCCCTAAATCTTTCAAAATAAATCTTGGTTATGGTGACCCATATGAGATTTAAGTTGAGGTTCCATGGAAGCCTCAAAGGTGTGATGTTCGTAAGACTTTTGGTCATACCACTAATTTGTGTCCTCAGAAGCCAAAGACTTTGAACCCTCCATCTTCCAAACAAGAGTGGAGAGTCAAGGAGACTAACATACAAGTTCCAACTAAGTGGGAAGTGGTGAAGAAAAAAGGGAGAGATGATGGGCAAGGTTCAACGACAGTGATAAACAAAGAGGGAGAGACGCAGCGTTTCACTCCATCAACATCTAATACTTTTGATGTCCTTGAATCATGTGATATGGGAGAGTTGGGGAATGGAGAATTAAATCAAGAGTTGTTGTGTCAAACGAAGAGCCTAAAAAGTAAAAGGTGTCCATCTCCAAGTGATCCCATTAATGGGGAGACTACAAAGGAGGATAACAGAAGAAAACTCAAAGCGAAACTTCATTACTTGAACAGTGCTAGAGGGAAATTTTGAATCATTTGTTGTGTATGTTGTGTTTGTCGTCTATAGGCTTAGTTTGTTTCTTTTGAGGGAGTAGTTTGTTTTTGTTTATGTTTATTCTCCCTACAAAAGATGCGTATTGAATTTCATTATATAGCTTTCTTTTTTGGTTATAATATGACTTGCTTATCCAAAAAAAATTCAAGATAAGAGTTTTGATGTCTATGCAATTAAGTTGATATTTTGTATACTTTACGTGACCGAGATAAAGTTGTTCATGTTCAAGATATAAATAATAAAATTATTTAAATAGTGATTAATAATTGACCATAGTGATTGGAATATAGAAGAAATAAATTTTAAAAAAAAAAAGGGTCATTATTGGAGCAAACGATGGAATAGTTTTGGTTAGAGCAAAACCCATATTATAATCCATAAGTTTCTTCCAAGTTGTTTGGTATTTATATCTATAAAAAGATACAAAACACTATTTAATAGGGTGAATAAGAATATGTTGTTAATAATTGATACACCTAATTAGGAATAAAATAAGAATCTAAATCAAATACACAAAAATACAAAAATTTACATGGTTTACCAAAGAATAAGGCCATGTACATGATCTAGAAAAATACTGCACTTTAAATACATAATATTAGGTAACAAGGCATAACTATAAAACATCAAAAATATCCTTAGTTTGTGGTTGAGTAGTTAATGTTCAATATTTATCAGAATTCACGCTGCGTACCCAATATATGAAAAGGTTTCTAGGGATGTGAGACTGATATAACTAGAAGTTTCTATATCAAGGATACTCTAGTGTATTTGTTATAAGGAAATTGAAGAAGATTATAACACAATTGGAATATTTTAGTAAATGTTTTTTTTCTTCTGCAATTTGGATATCTCTCCAAAATAAAAAAAGTGATAAGAGCAATTACACAGTTTTATTCATACTTGAGCAAGAAATTCAACTCTCTAATGGAATAGTCAGAAACCTTACCGTGACCTTACTTGAACAACATAACATGCACTTTCTGAGTTTTCCAGCCATGGTGACCTCTAGATTGCTCTCTCACCAACTGCTTTATAAACACACACACACACACGCAAAAGAAGAAGAAGAAGAAGAAGAAAAGTGAAATTTACTAAAGTTGTATTGGATGTTGAAACATCCATGAGAAATTACAGAAGAATTATCATATGGTCATTAAAATTATAAAGAAATGATCATTTCACTGCAATCCACATTCGTTTTATTAAACCAAACACTATCTCTTTAGAAAATTATTAACTAGTTTTAGAGTATCATGTGGTACTATTTATGTGACGTTGTTAGTAAATTAAAAACCACAAAATATACTTGGTGAATCCTTTCTTATTTTCCTAATTACATGGTTCAACAATATTTATTTCCCCTGTAAAGTTTTTAATTACGTCATTAATTGTAAACACTACATAGACAATATCATATGATACTTCAAGATTGCTAAATAATTACTCTACAAAAATTTTGACTATTTTTTACTAATTCAAAGGAAGAATGCAATCTTAATATAATCGAACTTAAAGAGTACTTGAATAATAAAAATACTAATACAAGTGGGGTTTGAACTTTCAAACATGATTTCAAACAAAAATGGAGTTTGGGTCAAACACATTGAATTCCCACTACCATAGGCCATGTTTGTTTGGACGGACTGGATTAGCATTCCCATGATTAATAATCCTGGGATTACAAATCCGTTGGATTATGTATCCTATCTTAACTAAAAGTCAAGTTTAAAATAATTAGTCCGTATTTCAATTGTTTAACCAAACATCGGATTAATAATTTTATTGGACTATTAGTCCAATCCCAAGCTCATGTCCACCCAAACAAACATGACAGTCAAGTTTAAAATAATTAGTCCGTATTTCAATTGTTTAACCAAACATCGGATTAATAATTTTATTGGACTATTAGTCCAATCCCAAGCTCATGTCCACCCAAACAAACATGACCTTATTGTATTGCATTGACATACAATTTCAAACAATTAAAATTTTCCGTTTTTTAAATTGCGTATTACTCATGAGGTCGGGGTTCCTGACTCCCCCTTTGCCCTCTGAAAATAATTCTTCCATGTAGCATTGATTGATAAAAATCTAAAAACACAAAATTGATTATAAAATTTGATACAATCCTTTCATATGAGGCGAATGAAGATATATATGGAGAGGGAGAGAATACCTAAGGAGTTAGGACTTGAGAATTAGCTTCCCCAAAATTTAGAGAGTGAAGAATTAGGTACAGAGCTGCAAAAATGGAGTCTCATACACCATGTTCCAGTAGAGAGATGTTGAATCACAAATTGAGACACTATTAAGATAAAGATTATTTTATTTTCTCAAAATTTTTGGGGATGGGATTGATTGATGATGACATGAACCATACTAGTCAGTCATCTCTAATAATAGGGACAAAATCAAAGAATATTTATATATTCCGGAGAACTCACCAAGATTGGATAAAAGAAAGCTAAATGTGAATTAAGGAGTGCTTCATTCTCTTCAGATGAGAATCGCTTGTTGTAGATTACCTCATCTCAAGCTGTGTGCACTGGTTTACAGTATATAAAAAAAAATTAAATAAATAAATATAAAAGAAGAAATGATTCAAAGGCAAACAGCCTTCTTTGAGATCAGCCCACTGTACCAAAGTAAATTATATAATTTACTAAAAAAAATAAAAATTATTTAGATTTTAGATGGACCAAAGTAAGATTATATAATTTTTGGATGGACCAAAATGTTAATTTCTTGGGTAAATTACAGTAAACTTCTAAAGATTTAGAGAAAATACAATAAATTTTATAATTTTGACATATTAGATTTCCTTAACGTTAATAAAATTATAAAATTTATTATATTTTATTTAATTTTGAAAATTTGTCCAAACTGTTTGATGCAGTTGCAACTTATAACTTATTAGTTAAAAACAACTTAATAAATCAAAAAAAGTTGATTATTTTGAAAACTTGAAAACAATATTTTTGACTTGTGCAGTGCAGTCTAGTTATCAACTTTCAACTTAGGCTTCGTTTGGGAAGTGGCTATTTTAGTCAAAAAGTCAAAAAGTTACTAAAAGTTGTCACATCACCTCTCTACTTTTTTACACATCTTTTCGTAAAAATTCAAAAAATTACTAAAATAACTTGTTCCCAAACGAGGCCTTTAACACCAAATAAGCCCTAGGTTGTGAGATTTTACTCTACATTACACGTGTATTAAAAATTATGCCCATCACGTTTAGTAACAGATTATTGCCTTGCATAGATTCATAAATTTCATTGCTTTTGTGCACAAAATTCATGTACTTTATACATTAAAACATTTGTTGCCTCTGATAATCTCTACTCAGATAAGTTCTCAAATTCAAAAGCTAAATTGGGCTAATAATACTAATTCTAAATGGTTTTTTCTCATGGAATTGGATATATAACCACCTTCCCAGTAGCTCGGTTTGTTTCAATGTCAGAGAAAGCTTCAACAACCTTGGTGAATGGGAACGGTCCCTTGGAATCAACCACCGGCTTCACCTTCCCGCTTTCAAGAGCCGGATTTAGTTTTTCCAAGACAGCTCCGCTGGCAGTGACTACAAATCTGAAACCGGGTGGCGTGACAGCACCAGTTAGGACCACTACGCTGCCCCCTTCCTTCATCACCTTCACTGCCTTATCGCCCTGCCCTGTTATTACATAAACAGAGAAAGTGCTTTGTTTTGTTATCAACTCTGTTTCAAAAATTAGATCGCGGAAAAGTAGGCAGCAAAAAAGAAAATTTTGTTTGACAACAGTAGCGTTACTTTTAGATATTACAAATACAAACTAGTGTCTCATATGTGTTTGGCAACTAAATAAGTCACATTTTTGATGAACTTTTTTGTATTTAGTAAAAAAAAAAATTCAATATTTTTGTCAAGATTTTTTACTTTTTAAGTTCTACTAGTCTAAAAGCATCTAAAAACTAATTTCTGTTAAAAAAAAATGAAAAAAAGTTCACTAAAGATGAAAAAATTCAACAAATAAGCTGTTAAAAAGCAATTGACAAGCCCAACAAATATCACTAACCTTTTTAGCCAAAAAGCCAAAAAGTTACCATTTTAGCCAAAAAGCCAACAACTCACACCAAAAAGTCAAAGATTCTCTTTTCTCTCTACTTTTTGCACATCTTTTCGTAATTAGCCAAAAAGTCATCCCAAACATATAAGTTTTTTTTACCTACCTTTTTAGCCAAATAGCCAAAAAGTTACTAAATTAGCCTGTTCCCAAACGAGGCCTAAGCGGAGCTTAAGTTTGGAACAAACTAGGAGAATAAGGTACTTCCAAACAGCATTTCTAGAACCATTGAAGGTAGAACAACAAACATGGTACATCCATGACTATGACATGGTTTTCGAAAAGGTCAGGGTCACTTAGGCAATGTTCTGCGAGGTTAATGTCAAAGCAAATCCCGCTACCATATTTTATTAAATTTAGGACACTTTGTTTAGTAGTGTTTTCATTTTCTGAAAAACACAATACCATCCTGTATCTTAGTTTATTCAATTGGTTAAGAAAATTTTCAATTTTGCTATGATCACACTGATGACTAAGCAACATTTAGTTATAATGCGGTTGTGTTTTCATTTTCTGTTTACTTTTTTTATTTTTTTTATTTTCAGGAAAACATAATATCCCGGTGTATCTTAGTTTACTCAATTGGTTAAGATATGTCAGTAATGACATGATCACACTAACGACTAAACAACGATTATTTATCAACATTATGACTCAACCATTTACTTTAAGAGTTCGAGTCACAAATTGACTTTGCTATCCTTCGCTTCACCATTAGAGAAAAATCATATTTGAAACAATAAAAACAAAAAGAAATCAAGTATTATCTTGTTTTTTAAGGAAATTGGTAATTGTTATATAATCTCACCAACTGTATCGTAGACCACATCAAATTTCTCCGGAAGATCTTCGAAGTTTTCCTTAGTGTAGTCAACGGCCAAATCGGCACCCAAGCTTTTCAGCAACTCCAACTTTCCAGTGCTGGAAGTTGCTGCAACTCTTGAAGCACCAAATACATGTTTTGCTAGCTGCCTCATTAAAAACACACACACAAATAGTTTGAGAAATAAATAACAAATGCATAAAATTGCAATCATCCAACTATATATCTGAGGTCTAAAGCTAATGTTGTTATGCCAATTTTGTCAACTAGGTCATGTTTGGTTCGCAAATAGGATGTGGTAAGGTAAGCTATAACAAGGAGGGTATTTTAGTTATTTTGCAAGCTTTATCATGGAAAAAGTTGTCCTGCCTTCCCTCCGACAAAAATACTCCCACAAAATAATCCAGCATATGCAGGATAAAAGGTTCCTGGGATAAGTTATCATGGGTAACAAAACGTGAACAAAACATGGGATAACTTTATTGAGAGGAAATAGTCCTATGCGACTGTGAATCAAATGTGGCATTAGAAGACATATATGAGATTTATTGACGAACTAACCCGATCGTCTCTTTTTTGATCGTTTGACCATGCCCTAATAATAATTGGGAGAATATATTGATTATCAATTCATGACAAAAATCTCAAGAATGTATAATTGATTTATGGAATTATATGTGATTGCCAACTTGTTCGTTTGATTATTTCATGATGTATCAAAGCAGGCAACAGAAACTGAACTATAACAAAAACATACCTGAATTACAAGGGATCCCACTCCACCGGCACCCCCCAAAACGAGGATAGATTTTCCATCTGAAAACCCTGACCGTTCGAGGCCTTCATAGGCAGTCTGAATCGCAAGGGGAAGACCAGCTGCCTGAGCAAAATCAAGATTCTTCGGTTTCAGAGCCAATAGCTTCTCCTCAACAGCAGTGTACTCTGCAAAAGACCCGAATTGCTTAGGTCCTTCAAGTGCTTTCTCGTTTATGTTCCCATATACTTGGTCTCCTTCCTTTAGGCTCTTTACTTGGCTGCCGACTTTAACCACCACGCCGGCAACATCATAGCCTGGAACTGTCTGTACCACAACAAACCGTGTGTCATAGGTGAACTAAAAACCTCGGAATGGTGAAGCTTGACAACTCAACTAGCAGAAACAATAGATGAATGAGTCATAATTCTTGGCTGAAGAACCTTTGTTCAGCAATTAAATTCAAACAAAATTGAAATAATAATTGGAGAAAGTGAGAGAAGATAGAGATGAGCGAATAGAGAGAGAGAGAGGCACAATTGTTTCTATAAATTGTATATGTCTATTACACAAAGAAAGCACTCTATTTATAGAGGATGCCTTGGCTGCCTATGAACAATAACATAATGCTACACTAACATAATGCACTAACATAATGCTACACTAACATAATGCACTAACATAATGCTACACTAACATAATGCACTACATAATGATACACTAACATAATGCTACACTAACAACCACAATGATGATACACTAATATACACTAACATCCGCCCGCAAACTCAAGGAGGGGAAGCATCAACCAAGTTGAGTTTGGAAACAAGATCATTGAAGCGGCCAGGAGGATGAGCCTTAGTGAAGATATCAGCGGGTTGATCGACGGAAGCGATAGGGAGAAGACGAACAGTACCACAGGTAACATGCTGGCGAATGAAATGACAATCAATCTCAATATGTTTGGTGCGATCATGAAAAACATCATTGTGAGCAATCTGAATGGCACTCTGATTGTCACAATAGAGAGGGGTAGAATCAGAAGAAGAAACACCCATATCAGCAAGGAGCCAGCGAAGCCAGAGAAGTTCCTGAGTAGTATCAGCAAGAGCTCGATATTCAGCTTCGGTGCTAGAGCGGGCAGTGAGGGATTGTTTTTTGCTACGCCAAGCAAGAAGAGAATCCCCTAAGAAGAAGCAGAAGTGGTGGCGGAAATGGTGACGCGAAGTGGACACTGGTGGCGCGTGTGGGCGCGTGAAAGGTTTTTTGAGGCCGGGCTTGGTGCCGTTGGAATCGTGAGGAAATTCCGAGTGGTTTGATGTAGTGCCGCTGTGGATGGGACTAAACACCAAAATCGCAAATTGCCAGAAATGTAACACTGTGCTCTGATACCATGAAATAATAATTGGAGAAAGTGAGAGAAGATAGAGATGAGCGAATAGAGAGAGAGAGAGAGGCACAATTGTTTCTATGAATTGTACATGTCTATTACACAAAGAAGGCACTCTATTTATAGAGGATGCCTTGGATGCCTATGAACAATAACATAATGCTACACTAACATAATGCACTAACATAATGCTACACTAACATAATGCACTAACATAATGCTACACTAACATAATGCTACACTAACATAATGCTACACTAACATAATGCTACACTAACATAATGCTACACTAACATAATGCTACACTAACATAATGCTACACTAACATAATGCTACACTAACATAATAATGCTACACTAACATAATGCACTAACATAATGCTACACTAACATAATGCTACACTAACATAATGCACTACATAATGATACACTAACATAATGCTACACTAACAACCACAATGATGATACACTAATATACACTAACAAAAATAAACCATGGAGGATGCCAAAGCCACTTGGTATGCAAACTAAAAGTCACACAGATCAAGTAGCTGGCGGAAATTCGGTTAACAAAGTTTCCACAAACAATATTTTTCCGTGTTCCATAACTTCCGGTCAAGGAATAGAAATACTGATAAAAAAGATTTATTACAAACCTAAGAATACAGTTTTGAGATGTATATGCCCATATATGCTGATATCAACAATGCTACGAAACACAAAAAATGAAAGGTATGACTTGAATTCATCTTGAGTGTGTGTGACCATTGATCAACTCCATACACTTTATTAGAATAGGAAAATGAATCCCCATATATATTATTCATGTTATTGAATAGGGGAATTGGCGGGGAAAGGAAGGACGAAAAAAAAAAAACCACCTCCATATATGGCAAACAACAGAATATTTAATGTTATGTACCCAGTTTCCTAAGTCTGATAAAATTAATATTTAATTTGCAGTGATAGGTTGGATCTAACACATTTATGGCTTTTATAAATTCTTTAGAAAAATTCACTTTGCCTTCTTACATGCTTGTACCACTTTACCTGAACTATCAATTTTAATAATTACCCCTTTAAACTATTGCCATTAGTTCACTCTAGTTAAAATCAATTAGACTTAGTTCATGTACTCTTAAGTTCTCTCCAAATTTCTAACACAGTATTGGAGTTGGGAGGTCTAGTCTCTGCCTAGTCAGGTCGGTTTCTCTTGTCTTATCCATTTCTATTAAGTATTAGCTCCGCATGCGACTGGGCTGCATATATAGAAAATGTTAAAGGCTTGTCTCACATCACATCTCTATGTCAATGTGGTTCATATAGTCTAAATGTTTCTTATACCTATAGGCCATGTTTGTTTGGGCGGACAGGATTAGTATTCTCATGACTAATAGTCCTAGGACTACCAATCCGTTGGATTATATATCCTATCTTAACTAATAGTCAAGTTTAAAATAATTAATCCGTACTTCAATTATTTAATCAAACATCGGATTAATAATTTTATTAGACTATTAGTCTAATCCCAAGCTCATGTCCACCCAAACAAACATGACCATAAGGCTATAACCAATTGATTTTGGTTTGGATATGTTGTGCAGAAATCAAATGGTTCCACACCCACAATCACACCTTGGCTTAAGAAGGCCATACCCACACAATTTTTCCAAAATGGCCTTTCATGAATGTTAGGCCCAAAAAAAAAACAAACAAACAAACAAACAGTTCAGACAAATAATCAAACACATAGAACACAGGGATCAAATATACCATGCCCAATAAAATTACAGAGCTGAACTTCTCAACTCAACCGCACACCTCACAACAGCTCAAAACAGGATGCATCTCCAAAATTCTAACACATTTCAATATATAAAAAAAAAATACCAATAAAACACAAGGGAAAAAAGAACAGAAAATTAATATTCTAACACATTTCAATAAGGGAAATTCTAATATACACCCTTTAAAAAGGTGTACCATATGCACCTCTCTTTTTCTTTAATTATAACTAATTTTCTTCCTTTGTTATGATATTATTTTAATTATAACTCATGAGTTTTTTTATTATGTCTCATGTTATTGTGTTGTATTTAGTTATGATATTTTTATTTTATTTTATAGTTATGAATACCATTTTTCTTTTAGTTACAAGGTTTATGGTGTTTCCCCTTCAATAAAACTCAATGAAAAACAGGGGGAAAAGACGAGAAATTCACCGGAAGAGGCGAGTCGGAGGCCTTGAATTTACCCAATCTCCTCTTGAAATCAACGGGGTTCAGAGCAGCCGCAACAACCTTGATCAAAACCTGGTCATCCTTCACCGGAGGCACCGAAACACTCGAATCGACCTTCAAAACATCGACTCCTCCGTACTCTCCATAGACCCAACCCTTCATCTGAGAGGGCACAGAGGAGCTAGTGGTGGGTTCGGTGGAAGTAGCAGGGGCAGCTTGGGAATTAGCGGATACTCTGAGGGGCAAAACAGGGGATGATGGGGAACCCTTTTGGGAAGAAGTGGTGAGGCTTGTTTTGAGTCTGGTTACTGTGAGTTTAGAGACTGAAAATGAGGAGAGAGAATGTGGGGGGAGGGGGCTCAGTGAGAGAGTAGTGGAGGAGAGGATAGCTTCCATTCTTCTTTTTTGCTCTCCTCTGTTCTGTCCTGTTATGTTCTGTTCTTCAGCTGCTTTATCTCCTTATATCATCAACCTCTCTGTTTCTTTGTATGGTGTTTGTTTGATTTTGCCCATGGTGCTGCCACCTGTCCTTTCCATCAAATTTATGCGCACACTAGCTGAGCCATCCTCTCCCCCCATGACTTTTTTTATTTTTAAAAAATAATTGTGAATTAGTATAATGAGAAAGTATAAGTGAAGTAAAAAAAAAAAAATTATGTAAAAAATATTGGAGGTAAAAAAATATTTTATATAATGAAAATGTTGTGTAGTTGAATATATTCTGTTCCTCAATGGTTGATGTGTGATAAAAAAAAAAAATGTTAGAAATTCTAAAAGTTTTATTAAAATTTCTATTAAATGTTTTACATGAGATCTATATGAAACTTACATGGTGTGAGTCTCACACCTATGTAAGATATTTAATAAAAATTTTAATAAAACTTTTAAGATTTCTATCATTATTCATAAATAAATAAATAAATCAAAGTTAATCATCGTCAAATACTCTCTATATCAAGTATAAAGTGACTTTTTTTTTTTTTTTTTATAATCTCACTTTTATCTCCATAATAATCACTAAAAAAAAAATCTATACTAGGTTAGTTTGGGAATATACCATACCCACTATATAAAGATATTTGTTTGAGGTGTCGAAGAGTGGTGCTAGGGTGGTGTAGAAGGTTGACCGGTGACTAGGCAGAGTAAGGAAGGGCAATCGGCAGAAAAAAGGATGGAAGGAAAAAGAAAAGAGAAGAGAGAGGACGAGTTGATTAAGTATATTGATAAATTAAAAAATAGATTTGTATCTTTTTGTAATTTTATTTAACCCTTATTATAAATAAAATTGTTTCCTATGCTTATTTGTAATTGTTATACCTATGTTCCTATTATTTATTTGTAATTTTCTATTTATTTTAAATTATTTTGTACTAGAAACATGTAAAAATTTAAAAATATTGAATAAATTTCAGAAAAAGGTCATCTAATGATAAAAGAGAAAAAAAAAAGAAAAAAGAAGTTAATTTTGTTGGTTTTTCTCAACCAGTATACATATTTTTAAAACTTTCTAATTTAAGATCAATTTAAAAATTACGTGATAAAAAATTTAAAAACACTAAAAACAAAAATGAACTAATAATAACAATAAAAAGCAAATTAACCTGAGGTTTTGAAAGTATTTTAGATAAATGACAATTGAAAAAAGTAATTTCAAATTCACAAAGTCAAAATAAATTTGTAGTCGATGCAAACAAAAAAAAAAAAAAAAAGTATTTCCCAAAATACAATATTCTTATTTTCACTTACTTGCCTTTTTCCGGTTTACAATTTTTTCATTTTCTGGAAAAAAAAAAAAAAAGGAATAAGAATAAGAAGAAGAAAAAGTGACGAATATTACAAATTGGTACCTGGCGTGTTGGATCATCAGCGAGTCTCTCTTTCTTTCTCTCAAAACTATTTTGTAGATTTGTTTTCCAAATTTTTCTATAAGTAACAGCCGGTGATCGATTCAATTCCTCTAATTCTTGTTCTTCCTCTTTGAATTAGGAATAGAATTCTAGACACATGAATGAAAGAATCACTACAAAAATCTTCCATTTATATATTGAGGGTACAATTCTCTCTTAAACCCTACCTTCTTCTTCAATATCTTCTTGTTATTGTTGTGGTTTATATGAGATTGGCTATTGCATCTTCACTTGAAAATCCATGTATATTAAGCTGCTGTTATATGTATGTATTTCTGATTTCTGTGTATTTTTTAAACTTATTCAAATATCTGGTCTGGTTTGTTCCTAAACTCTTATGCTCTATTTGGAATGAGATGGAATGGTATAGAATGGAATAATCATTTCATTTGCAATGTATTTTTATCATTTTTTAAGTCAGCCAAACATAAGGATGGACAATTTGATGGAATGAGCATTATATTCCACTTAATTCCAGTTAACCAAACACTACCTTGCTACCAATGGTTCCTGGGACCAACTGTAAACTCAGGTTGAAATTTTTTTATAATTCTTTTGAATTTCAGAGAGGCTTATTTGAATATTTTAGTTCTAAAATTTTTAGTGAACTTATGGAACAATTTTCAATTATTTGTTTTTTCTGTCTCTTTAGAGAGTTATCTATAATATCAATAAAAACCGGAACAATTTCCAGAAATATTAGTTGGGAGGTAATTCATACTTTATCCAATCAAACTATTTATCTGCTTAAAAATATGTCCGCTGCTCATCAAAACCATTTTAATTATTCTTACTGCTGTTTGGTTAACATTTTAGGTTTAGCCCTTCGCTTTCCTTCAGTTTACAAGCTGGACGACTCAGTTGATCTGTGAAAACTAGAAATTAATTTTTATTTATTTAATTTTTCTTTTTGGTTGAAATAGGGGATTTGAGGTCAAAATGGTCCTCAATTGAATTGCTACTTTTTTATTATTTGTTTTTCTTCAAGATATGCCTTTCAGAAGAAAAGATACCCTGGACTTAGGAATTGGAGTATATTTTTGGCTTCTAGACTGCTTTGGAAGATTTAACAAATAAGAGGGGAACATTGATATTATCTCTAAAGATGGCCCAATGAGTTACAAACAAGTGCTAGAAAAATGTAAAGATATCATATTGCTACACGCATGATGAATAAGGGAACCTGATTCTCCTAACTATAGTCATCCCTTAGAATTTGTGCTTAGAAAGTTATGCTAGAAATTGAACTATGTAATTTGATTAGAACATCCTAGGATAGGGTCTTTGTTCATCGATGTCATGACCTTGTGATCTCCAAAACAACAAAACAATGTTACAATATTCTAATTTCATTTCAAGCTATATCTTGTTAACCGTGGCTTTATTACCCCTCAAAGACTGGCATGGCAGAAAACAAAAAACGGAATGCGTAATTTTTCCTTGTTTTTCAATTGGTTCACTTTCCTATGATAGTCAAAACTCCTATATTTCTGCATAAAATTATAATCAGCATGTAGCTTTGGTAACTGGTATCCATGTTAAGCTAGATTACCTCTCCTGCAGCATAGTCAATGAGAAAAACCTTCGTCAGCATCTTCAGTGGATTTTAGCATAGTTGGCTTTCCAATCAAGTCCCTTTGTTCAATCCCTTTTATGGCTGCCAGCTATTGTTTACAGAAAGGCGTGCATACTGTTACACAATCTTCGCCTTCTCCTACAATTTCTTGTATACACAGCATACCACATGTTGCAGAAGTTTCACGTATCACAAGTGCTGATTCAGCAGGTTCTTCATCAGATGGATTGGCAGCTTCTAAAGTCCTTAAAGATGTACATATAGTAAGAAACATAAGAACTTTATATTGCTTTATTCATATTGCCAAATTGTAACGGTATTTACGATTGCCAGTAATAAATCATGCACTTCTCTGCCATATATGTTTTGTACCAATTTTGCAATTCTGTGCAATGTTTTGTAGGAACTGTAAAGGTTCGGACCTTTATGCATTTGCTATGGATTCAAATGGTTAATTTATTAGATTTTTCTTTTTTCTCAGTCAGCACAATTGATGGAGGATTTTCTTGCACTTGCCAGAGACAACACAGACAAAGATTTGGAGACCTGTGGGGTTCTTGGTGCTTTTCTCGTAAGATTTTGCTCTTGCCTGTACATAATATAACAATAAGGCCAATCATAGCCGTATGTCAATCCTCAGATGGCACTTGAGGCATTTGAGATTGCTTTAAGGAACAATATATTCCATGGCTTTATCAAACCCTTTTGGTTTTAGGTAACCACCTTATGTCGCACTGCCATGTGCATGTAACCTCAAATTTGTTTTATAAGATGGGTTTCTCCAACTATGATTAGGATACTACCCTTATTAGGGTTTTTGACTACTCTAGACTAATAGGTAGCCATAAGGGTTGTGAAAAGGCATCCAAATGGTGGGGTGAATCTAGGGTGGTTGATGAAAGGAGAAAAAGAAAAGAAAGGTTTCTATCTTGTTCGTATATAAGTAATTTTCTATGTGGCTGGCTAGCTTCTTGTATTCACCATTGCACATTCTATTATTCTTATTATCATCTAATTTATTTTTTTTAACGGCAGTGTGATTAAATCATTTTATTATAGATAACCTGGGTCTCATCCCTCCTCCAAATTTTCAAGTTTCTGCAATCACTTCCAGCAGTTCTATTACAATGATACTTCCCTTGCTACTCCGTTAGCCAACATGTTATTGAATGCCATAACTATTTGAGTTCTGTATTTTATAGATCTTGTTTGGAATTTTCCATGTCAGTTTCCGTTTACCGGTAAACATTTGATCTAGTATAACCCTTTAATTTACAAAGCATTTAATGTGATTCACCTACGGGATCACCATCAACATTTTTAATTTGTGCCTAGTGATCCTTGGATCTCTGGATGTACTTGTTGAAGCTTAGTACAATTCATGTGACATTACAGCATAAAGTTTTGGCCCGAGAGACAAATATATATATACATTTCCCTATTTTGTAGCTTAGCACCTAAGAAGCATGGACACGGACACGTGACACGACACGAGTACGACACGGACACGCTGACACGTTAATTTTCAAAAAATGTAGGACACGACACGTGAGGGACACGCATGAAATATGTAATTTTATATATTTATTATATGTTATATATATGAATATATCATTAAAAAGATAATAAAAAATACAATATGATACTAATTCCTATAAATTTATATAGTTTTTGTTTTATTATTGTATCTTAAGTTGTTTTGTTCAAACTTATAATTAATTTCACATATGTCTAATCGTTAGACACTTGTATTTAAGCGATGGACACGTATGTCCTTCAAGTGTCCAAAGAGTGTTTAAGTCTTTAAAAAAATTTAAAAAATAGGACACGTTTTGAAGAGTGTCGGACACGTGTCCTGAGAGTGTCCAAAGAGTATCGGTGTCCGACACGGATACGACACGAATACGTTACCTTCTTAGAAGTGTCCGTGCTTCTTAGCTTAGCATTCTCTGTCTTCATGCATTATTTATCCTCTAGTGTTGGGGTGCTAATAGGTTGAAGACAATACTTTATTGAGTTATAAAACTAAGTCTTGTTTCCTTCTTGCTTTTTATCCAGAAAGGTGGAACTTTCTACGTAACGACTCTAATAATACCCAAACAAGAATCGACTTCCGATTCTGTATGTTTTTTGGTCCTTATATTTATTGTCTTGATTTAATGGTATATTTTCCTGCATTTGTTATTTTTGCAAGCTGCTGATTTAATTGTATTGATTTATAGTGTCTGGCTCTAAATGAGGAGGAGATTTTTGCCATACAAAATGAACAATCCCTTTATCCTGTAGGATGGATCCATGTATGCATTTCAGCTCCTATCTCTTTTTTCTTTGATGGTTGTATTGTATTACAATTGTTTTGCTTTGCAGGATATATGTATATATATATATATATATTCTACTACTTATCTGCACCAAGGCTTGATAATGTGCTTCCAATATTTGAGAGGCATGAAAAATTCTAGGGTGCTGGAATCAATTACCACAAATTAGCATCAATAAAGATTGACAAAATTGACTAATGAACAGTGAATAACCCATGGTTCTTTTTAAGTGCTTGAATGTTTTTGGAGCTTTGGCACTGATCAGGACATTAATTTTCTTAAGGTTGTTAGAGCACAACAATGAAACATTAATAATTCATAATTGTGATCAAGAACATAATTTTTTAGAAATGGCTTGACAGCTTGAATTTTATTGCATTAAAGAAACAAATTCACCAACTCTTAGAACAAGCTGAGCCAGAGTCAGTGGCATACACAAATAATGGGGCTTCACGTTAATTCAATTTCTGAACACAATCCTTGGTGGAGCTCTTGAACCAAGAACGTTTAATTGAACGGTGAAGTTAGATGATGGAGTTACCAAAATGATCTGATTTTCCCATCTGTGTTCAATTAAATGCCAGATTTATTATAGTGACATGACATAATGCTGACTTAAATACCCAGAAGAAAAAATAATGTTGAATAAATGAAAATGGGGGAATGCATTACATTAGTAGGCCAAAAAGTTGATTATAACTGTTTATTCCGTTGAAGCGGAAAATGTGAGTTGTTATTCTGTCAACCCTCAACTAGCCTTGATATCAGATAATAACACAGCTAGGCTGCCTATCAGATAGAATACCAAGTGTCTGCCTCAGTTGGAATGCTTAACTTAAAAGGTTTTCTGATCTATAGCTACTGGTTAGTAATGCTATTATAGTTTACAGTCCTAATTTTTATCCAATGCACAAAAGAGGTAGCACCTGTAAAGTAATGGGGAAATTACATTTAAGTGGAAACGACATAAAGTAATTGCACTTTCATGAAAGTGTAAGTTGGAGCAAGTGAGAGTTGTGTCCCATGACACAACTTTCACTTGTAATTCCATGAAAGTGATATTATTTTGAGTCGTTCTCATTTAAATGCAGCTACACTTAAAATTATCTGCAAGTCAGGGCTTAATCATGGATTGTTTTCATATTTGTTTTTGTTAATTGGTGAAAACTTCAATTTCTGTAAAGGATGTTGTCATACCACTTGTCTAGTAGCAACAAAATGGAAAATGAATTCAAACTTGTTATTTTTCTTTCTTATAGTGGAGTAATCATAACGTATGTTGCATACTCATCCTATTAGTGTTATCAGTTAGTTTTTCTTTTGTTTCTCCTTTTTTCGTGCTTTAGAAACCTAATATTTTGCTTCTGTTATCAGACACATCCTTCTCAAAGATGTTTCATGTCATCAATTGATTTGCACACCCAGTTTTCATATCAGGTAAAACTGATTTTGTATTTAGCGAATGCCCTTCTGTCTTGGGAGAACCTGCATTTTTCATCTCGTGTTATACTCCGGGAGAAAATATCCTATATGAACTATGAAAAACAGGAGCCCATCAGGGGCACATGCTGAAAACAAAGCGGGGAAATATTCAAAAAATACTTCTTAAGCTTGTCACTAGGTTCTTTCATATTGTCCTAATTTGATTAATCTAGTCGACCAATAGACCTGGATTTATAACTAGAGATCTCCATTATCTGCATTTTAAAAAATTTGGATAAATTACACTTGACATCCTGTAGTCTGTATTTTGGGGCAAGTTTCACTTTCATCATTACAATTTCAATTGTGACAAATTGGACTTTTTATTTGATTTCAATTTACTTCCATTTTGCATTTGGGATTTGGTGGGAAAGACATAACTCAGGGCCACATGGCTTGTTTTGGCCCTGTGGAGTGCAAGTGGATCCTACAAGTCTTTGAGACTCACCCCAAACTACATGGATCTAAAATGTAACCTACCTTAAATTTGTAATACAATGATCTGCTAAGAAGCATGGACACGGACACGTGACACGACACGAGTACGACACGGACACGCTGACACGTTAATTTTCAAAAAATGTAGGACACGACACGTGAGGGACACGCATGAAATATGTAATTTTATATATTTATTATATGTTATATATATGAATATATCATTAAAAAGATAATAAAAAATACAATATGATACTAATTCCTATAAATTTATATAGTTTTTGTTTTATTATTGTATCTTAAGTTGTTTTGTTCAAACTTATAATTAATTTCACATATGTCTAATCGTTAGACACTTGTATTTAAGCGATGGACACGTATGTCCTTCAAGTGTCCAAAGAGTGTTCAAGTCTTTAAAAAAATTTAAAAAATAGGACACGTTTTGAAGAGTGTCGGACACGTGTCCTGAGAGTGTCCAAAGAGTATCGGTGTCCGACACGGATACGACACGAATACGTTACCTTCTTAGAAGTGTCCGTGCTTCTTAGATGATCTGAATCCACTGGGACACCTAACCTGACTGAATGTTCTATTCTTTTCTACACAAGTAAACTTGTTTATTTCATTTTTTGCATGTATTACAGTTTGTTTCATCTCCTAGGAATAGATGTTTCCTTTTTTTGGTATCACTCTTTTATGTTTCCAATTCATGCTATGCTGAACTATGCCTTTTTGCCTATAAGAGCTATGGATGCAAGCTTTCCAATTTTGTTATCTCACATGCTCTTTAACTACCTTTCTCACTTTTAATTTTTCTTTTCCAGATGATGGTACCCGAGGCGGTTGCCATTGTCATGGCTCCCACTGATAACTCAAGGTATGTTACGTTTGCACAAAGTTGTTTGGTATTTGCATACTTGGATTTAAAAACCAATAGTTTTTTGGATAAATTACATAATGGTCCCTAAAATATAGTACCTATTTCATTTTTGTTCCAATTTTTAATATGTATCAATTGCATCCTTGAAAAACACACATTAATTCAATGTGATCCCTACCCTAACTGCAATCTAAAAGACATACGAAAAATATTTATGTCAGCCTCACATCAAGTATTTGAAGGGCGTTGGGAGAAATTTATCTCATTTCCCATCTATCCAAATCTTTGACTTTCATTACCGAAAGCCAAATAGGTAAATGTTTAATGCCTTTCGAGATTTGTTGTGAGGCTGACGAAATGGCCTTTTGTTTTACAAATGAACCATAACTGGATTTCACCACCTTCAGTTCACTTTTGGGTATTGATATATTTCAGGGCCTATGGAATATTCAGGCTATCAGACCCCAGTGGGATGAACATCTTAAAGGAGTGCAAAGAGACGGGTTATCATCCTCATCGAGAACCGAGCGATGGGAGTCCCATATACGATCACTGCTCCAATGTCTATGTTAATCCAAATCTGAGGTTTGAAATATGTGACTTGCGTTGATGAAGCCGTGATCTGCAGAAACTCTGTTGGTTATATATGCATTGTCAAGTATGTTAATGTTTATGGTTGAACTAGCATGAAACTGCGAGAAGACTTGGAAGGTGTAATGTTTTTTTTTCTTCACAGGTGTATTTCAGTAGTGAATCATCTACCCTAAGTATATGTTCTCAAAATAAACACTCTGTATGTTCTCAAAATGAACACTATATGGTTGAAAAGGGTGAAGTAATAGAGACCTGTTTATTTGTAGTCGGATCTCAATGTGATGTTTATTCTGTCACGTGCCCAAATGAAGTGAATAATTTTTCCTTTGTTTCTCAAAATATGTATTTAGAGAAAAAATTTTAAAAATATATTTGGTTGAAATTTTTTTTTAAAAAAAAATCTAAATTTTTCTCTCTATTACTCATCAATCAATCATTTTTTTTTCTTTTCTCTCTCCTCAAATATATTTTCTCTCAAACTCATCTATTAAACAATAAAAAAATATCAAATCATTCTAAACTATAAAATTATTTTCAAAATATGCATCTAAATAAATTTTTTAATTTTCTAAACTCTCTAAAAAATTATTTTTAAAATAATATCTCAAAACACTAATCAAACAAAGCCATATTTTTTGGCAATATGTGTCTGGCATTTCTCTTTAGACATGATTATATGAGTTATGGGACAAGCTTTTTCCCTTTTAGTCTGAATGAACATGAAATTTGTACTCTAGATGCTCGCTACATTCGTATTTTTTTTTGTAAATTAATGGTTTAAATTTGTCTACTTGCAAATCTAATATTAATATTACATCAAAGTAAAAATCTTTCGGTTCAATATTTATTGGGTTAATAAATAAACAAAATTTAATCTTTTATTTAGAAAAAGTGTCAAACTAACACAATTTCCGTGTTTAAACAGTAGTCAGTATTGTCCAGACGGAGAGAAGCCATTTTTGTGAGATTATTGCTATCATATAGACAAGCTCTTCAATAAAAAATTATATTATAACAATGGAGTGAAAGGCACAGTTACATTTAAGCTATGTTTGGTTTTGATTTTTTTGAATAAAAAATTACAAAAGGTGAAATTAGTTATATAAGTTAATAGTACAAAATGTCATATCTAAATCATAATAATTAAGCTTTTTCTTTTATAAAAGTTAAAACAGCCAAAAACAAAAACCAAACGAGGCTAAAAAAATAAAACTAAAATAGCTAAAAAATCAGACTACTTTAACTCTTCTCCAATGAAGACTTAGGCCCCGTTTGGGAACAGACTAATTTAGTAACTTTTTGACTATTTAGCTAAAATATGAACTAAAAAAAACTAATATGTTTGGGATGACTTTTTGACTTTTTACAAAAAAAAGTAGAGAGAAAAGAGAATCTTTCACTTTTTGATATGGGTTGTTGACTTTTTAACTTTTTTAGTAACTTTTTAATTTTTTGGCTAAACCGACCCTTCTCAAACGAGGCCTTAGTAAATTCTTCATGAACAATCTTTTAAATGTTTTTCATTTTAAATTTTTTTTTTTTTAAGCTTATTTTGAAATTTCGTTAAAAGTTATTTTTTAACTTTTAACATATTTTGAATAACATTATTTCCTTACTTTTCTATACGTTCCAAAATATTAACTTTTAACCTAACTCTCAAAACAAATCTTTATTTTCTGTATTTTTTTTTGAAAACAAAACAATGAAAAACTCTCTTTTAAAGTTTTTCAAAAAAAGAAAAAAGAAAAAGTAAATACAACCAATGAGCTACATTTGAATTTCTGTCTCCATTCAATAAGAATTGTGTGCTGTTTTTTTTTAGGGCACTCCCATACCCTTGGATGTACAAGTAATAAATTTGAGTACAAAATGTGTAAAAAGTGCAAGATTAAACTTTAAAAAAAATAAATAAATAAAAAAATACACCTAAACCCAGTCAATTTTCATATACATCCATGGAAAAAAATATATATTTTAAAATTTTTTTTGAATCAAATTACTCCAACCCAAAAATAAAATAAAATAATGAAGCCTCGAGTTGTGCTTAAAACGGGTGTACATTCTTGCTTAAACCGCCATGTACGCTGGTGAAGAACCCAAACCCCTCAGGCCGGTACGGTAGGTACGACCGCCGCCGATCCTCCTCTCTCCACGCTCTGTTCTTCACATAATGCATCTCATGCGGCGACAACGGCGCCGTTTTCTTCCCCTTCTTCACCACCTTCCCTTTCCCTCCGGCGACCTTTGTCTCTCCGGCGCCGATCTTCTTCTCCGACGATCCATCGCTCTTCTTCAAATTCGCACCATTCGAATCTTTGTTCAAGAACACGAACGCGTCTCTTCCATCGCTACTGCTTCGATTGACGAGTTCTCGAAATCTCCAGAACTTCGAAAACCCGGTCGAATTGCTCTTCTTGCAAGCCTCCGCCGAGGCTTCGACCGCTTTTCCGGTCCAATTGCAGTACGGACCGGCCGGTTCGGCCGGTTCAGGTTCCTCTGTTCCGACGAAGACCTTCGGAGATCGACGAGGCAAATCGTCCGAATCGCTGCCGTAGAGAAGACTCTGGTCGAACAAAGGAAAAACCGGCTTGATCTGACCGTTCTGGAACGCATCGTCGGCCGAAATCGGCGATCCATCGGTTCCTATACACGCAAACGAGAATTCCTCGTCGTCGTCATCATCATGGTCTTCATCTTCAAATTCTTCATCCGACGGTGCTGATTTCTCGATTAGGTCATTGAGTTTGATTTTGCCGCTAAAATCTTCGGTAACTTTAGCTCCGATTTCTTCAATCAAGGTTAGTTCTGATTCTTCTATCTTCGCCTGCATTTTCAATTCTTAGTACTCTCTCTCTAAAAGTATGGTTTGTTGTGTTTCTCTCTCTAGAATTTTTACTCGAATGGATTTTGGTTCTAAAAATGTGTGGATTGGGATTAAATATGGGTTGTATGGTGGCTACGCGTTTGAGAGAGAGCAAGTACGAAATTTGGGTGATGTTGGTTTAAACGGACTAAACTTTATTTGTTTATTATTTTTGGGTTGTTTGGGGGCAAAGAAAGTAATGAGAAAATGACACAAGATTTGTTTGTTTGCTTGTTTGTTTATGGGTTCAGATGGGCATATAGTATTTGGTATTTAACCTAACTAGTTAAGCATTAGAGATTACTTGTGTTGCAAAGTTTTGACCTTTGGTTTTGACGACGTTGTAGTTATTAGAACTTAAAAAATTTCTTCATGCCTGGTTTGTCCACACGGCCACGTATGTTAATCAGTTGAACTTCTAGAAATGTATGACTTTTATTTTTCTTTTATTTTTTTAACACGATCATTCTCAACCTATTATAAATTATAAATACACCTTCTTAGTTTTGTTTAAAATATAAATTATTTTATATAATTTAAAAAATTATAAATATTCTTTTTAAAAAAATTATTTAACAGAATTAATTAAAAAAGAAAAATTCATAATCGTTCTTCTATATAATAATAAAATTATTTAAATTATTAATTAAAACATATTTCTAATATCATTAAAAATTGTTAATTGATTTCATGATTTATTAATAAAAAGAGGCATTTGTAATGAAATTAAAAATCTCAATGAGTGGAATTTAATTTTCAGAGCCACGGGAAGTGATTCACATTTCAATCAAAACTTTGGAGGTGTGTTTGTAATTTATCATTTTCTTTTCTTTCACTTTTCATTTTCAACACATAATATTACCTTTCGTTTGGGATGTGGTTAATTTTTTGACTTTTTAACTTTTTTACTATTTTAATTTCGAATTAAAAAATCTCGTTTGAGGTGAATTTTTTTTACTTTTGTTAGAGAAAAAATAAACTAATTATAGTTTGAATATGACATTTTGTCTTATTGAGTTTTTATGGCTAAAATAACCCAAAAAAACCTATGCCAAACATATAGTCTTAATATGAGCATTTTTTTTAATCACTAGATTATGATTTATTTTAATTTTTTCATAAGAAAGCATGATTATCTTAGTTTATGAAAGGTGAATTACAAATACATTTCTTGAAACTTGTTTAAAATACAAATTGTTTCTTATAATTCAAAAAAAATTACATTTCGTCCCTTTTAATAGATTTTAATCATCTCAAAAATATTGTAATTAATAATTTTGATAATTTTATTGTTGTATAAAAAAATAATTAGGGAATTTATTTTTTTTTTATTAATTTTGTTAAATAAAATTTTTTGATAAGAGATTATTTGTAATTTCAAAATCACAAAGAAAAATTTGTATCTTAAATAATTTTTAAAAAGTGTGTTTATAATTTATCTTAATTTAATTATAACAAATGAATAAGTAATTTGGATGAAACATCGTGTGAAGGATGTTGACAAGTGGGTGCAACACCAAGGAGTAGGATTTGTGAAAAAAATTTTAAAATTCACAATAAACTTGTTCTAATGACATCAACTTTTTAACAAACTTGAGAAACTTTAACCATTCGATTACTTAAATAACTTGTGATAATCCGCTATGCATGGTATTTAAAAAAAATTAATAATATATTTTTATACAAAATAATATAAATAGTTAAATTTTTATATGCAAATTATGAAAACAAAGAATATTAAAATTTACAATTTAAGTCTTATAATTTTATCACAATTTATTTATTATTTTTTAATTTGTCTCAAATTTAATCATGTAATTTTTTACCCCCTTGTTATAATTGCAAACTTACGTGAGCTCAACCCAAGCAATTTGAGTTAAGCTTAAATTTTTTTAAAGATTAAACAATATAATTTTTAATTACGTGAGCATCTATACAAAAATTCAAAAATTTAAATTAAATTTAAGTGGACTTGGCCAGTGAACTTGGGTAGAAACACCAAATAACCTGAAAAACCAAAACAAAATTATATATATAAATATATAAATTATTTGCTAATTTATTTTTTAAATAATAAATTAAATTAATTAAAAATTTAATATTAATGAACAAAAAAAAAAAAAAACAATATAGTTAAGATTTCTAATAGAATTTTTCTTGAAAATATTTAAAATACATATTTTAGAAAGGGATCTTTGAAAGAGTTGTTTGGAAAGTGTCATATTAGCTCACTTTTTTATCTTTTTATTTTTTTTTCAGTCACATCACATCTCTACTTTTTTTATATATTTTTTCATAAAAAGTAAAAAGTATACTTATTTATCTTTTTTGGATCATATCACATCTCTACTTTTTCTATACATATTTTCGTAAAAAGTAAAAAAATATACTTATTTAGCACTTCCCAAACAACCACTAAGCTGATATTAAAAAATTTTACTTTTTATAGTGGCATAAATAATTTAAATATGCTTTTTTAGAAATCCTTTTTAATTTAAAAATTACAATAAAATATTAAATAGAATAAAAATAAATTTCTTACCAAATAAAAGTATTTGAATAATAATAAAAACAAGGTAAGAAGAAAATTTAATGGGAAAATTAGTGAAATATCGCTTTTCAACTTTGTGTAGCAGGAGAGATACCAGATATTTGTTTATTAGCTAAGGTCTCTTAACATTTTCATAGAAAAATTTTATTCGACTAAAAGAAATTTTAAATTTCTCTCATATGAGAAATCAGAGAAATTTTTCTATGAAAATTGAAATTTCTCTGATTAAGGCAAAATTTCTCTAAATCGAATTTTCTCTATAGAAATGTTGAGGGACCTTAACTACTATGAAAATTAACATGGACAGGCCCACAAAGGCTATAGCCCACTATGAACAACCCAAGTCTACCACTTAGAGCCGAATACATAATTCAATTAATGAAACCCAGCACTGCTAAAGCTCCACACAGCAATAAGAGTCAATGGCATCAAGACACATGGCAAGAGAAGGGCAAGCCACATCAACAGATAAAGATCTGCAAAGTTATTGCCACGGCACATCGCCATTAATGAGGCCCCTTACAGCATTTATTGCAATAACCCCTCTCTGTTGGGACGACATGCCCTCAACTTGAACAAGGTAAGCTATAACATAGACTTTTGGCCAAGGTGACAGGTCGGAAGGGACCACGAAATAATGACCAGAGGATATAAGCAGACGTCGAAGATAGGAAGAAGGTTAAGCTTTTATATCTCTAATCTATCTCTACAATCCACTTCTCTTTCTAACTTGCTCGTCGGAGGGTTCGTTGGGGGACTCCCCGTTCCCCGTTGAACTCTTGTGCAGGTTCTCTGGTGGGCTTGATCACTCGGATACCGGTTAGAGAAGCGTGGATCAGTCCGACCCGTCCAAGTCTCTTGTAGTATCATCAAAAATATTGGATTTTTTTTTTATATATAAAATCTTAATATCGGGGATCTTAAAAAAAAATTCTCAAATTTAATGTAGTATTTTCATTTAATTTGAAAATAATTCTAGATTGATAAAAAAATTATCACGTATAACCCTTTTTTTTTTAAATAAAAAAAGTTTAACGACCAATCACTTTTAATTAAAAAAAAAAATAACGTTTCTTTCTAATTTATTTTAGCAAAAGCTATTTTTTAACAAATTGAGCCAAATATATCTTTATTCTTTATTTTAATTTCTTTAATTGATAGCTGAGATAATAAAAAAAATTAACAAAATTCAACATATTTGGCAAGTGGTAAAAAAGGTTATGTTTTGTTCTTTTGTTATTTAAAAAAAATATATATTAAAAAATAGGAATTTTTATTGATAAATCCATTTTAGAGGTGTTATAACACATTAGGTCTACAAAGGAATATTATAACCTGATTAGTCCCATAAATTTTTCTTTTTATTCCATAAGGTCCATTTTTCTAAATTAATATGTTTACCTGGATTATTTTGCCCCCATATATATATATATATAGTGTTAATACATATTACGAACCTGTTTCTTCGCTGATTCAGTTTGGCAGTTTCTATTTTACGTTTTTCATCATCATTGCAATTCGGAGGGATACGTTTCTATTTTCCATGCTCGTTCCAAGGTTTGGATGTGCTAGGGTTTCATTATTGCTGTTGTAGTCTGATTCTGTGAATTTCGAGTGAAGACGACGAAGAGGAAGGTGTTCGATTGTCACATTTTCTAGACTATAACTAGTTCAAATCAGTTGTTTTCGAGTTTCTGAACAATTGTAGGATAGCATAATTAAGGATAGTATCAATTTGGTTATGAATACATATTTAGTTTATGGTTTCATTCATATGATGGATCAGAGGCTCTGCTTTTTGATTGATATGGATCGGATGCTCTGTTTTTTTAATTATATGCATTTTACGTGGTCCTATGGAGGGGAGTTCATTCAGATTATGAGAAGAATATGTAGTTGTCATTTTACTTTGATGTATCCATAATGAGGCTCTGTGTGGATGATATAATTCAGAGTATATGTATCATTGTGAATGTTTACATTTTGTTAATGTGGAATATGTGAAGAATGTGGATGTTCTCATTTTAAATTGATGTTTACTTAATGAGGCTCTTCGTGTGTGATATAATTCAGAGTATATGTGTCAATGTAAATGTTGACATCTTGTTAATATTGTGTGAAGATTGTTGATGTTCTCATTTTACTTTGATGTTTGCTTAATGAGGCTCTGCGTGGGTGATATAATTCGAAGAATATGTATATGTATCAATGTGAATGTTCACATCTTCTTAATGTAAATTATGGATTTAGCACTTGAACTGTACACATAGTCATCTAATTTTTGCACAATGTGAATATTCATATCAACTTTGATTACTGTTCATTGTTGTGTTTTTGTGTGTTTTACAGGAGATGGATACTTTTATGATGTTGGTGTGTACGTATGATTGTAGTACGACTGTAATAAATGTTGCCCGCGCATTGTGTTATTCTCGTTTGGTGGAGTGTTTGTGTGAAAAATGGGATGAGTTGTCTGCTGGTTCTATTTCATTGTTTTGTAAACTACTGAGGATTAATAGGTATGATTTGGACAATGAGGAAGAATTTCAGAACATGTTACTGCTTACTAAATCAATAGGGGTACAACATGTAGAAGTTGTGGTTGAGTTGAAAAGTGATATTGGTCAGTCAAGTGGCTCGGGATCGCTGCATGTAGTGATTGAGGAAGAAATTGATGTACTACGAAGATTTTGCCACCATAAGGAGAATGTGTTGTTGTCAGCCCCTTGGACAAATAGTATTACGTATGTGGGACAACGGTTTGTTGGAGGTGCACAAGAATTTCGTGAGGCTTTATGTAAGTATGCCATCCAATATGGGTTTCAGTTTACGTACGTCAAGAATGAGACAACAAGAGTTACTGCTGTGTGTACGCTGCGTGAGGAGAGAGACTGCTTGTGGGCTATACATTGTAGACCACAACAAGCAAATGGTTTTTTCTACATCAAGAGGTTTAGTGATGTGCATAGTTGTGGTACGGATGTCCGAACATCGAAGAATCCGTGAGTTAGTTCAGATTTGGTGTCGAGTACTATATCTGAAATTGTAAGGGACAAGCCGTGTGATGTCGTGACTATTTTGAAGAGGGATTATGGGCTAGATGTGAGTTACCATATCGTATGGTTAGGTGTGGAGAAAGCAAAGGCTGGTATTCATAGAGATCACTCATTATCGTTTGATCAGCTACGGTGGCATTTGAATGCTGTGATGCGGTACAATCCAGGGAGTTATGTCAATATTGACTATGATGCGAGTAGTCAACAGTTTTGTCGTTTCTTTGTGTCATTCGCTGCATGTATTTCTGGGTTCAATTCTTGTCGGCCTTTATTATTCCTGGAGGGAACATTCCTTAAAGGAAAGTACAAAGGTCAACTACTTGCGGCAATGGCAAAAGACGGAAACAATGGTTAGTATTTTTTTTAGCTGTCTATTTATGTCAATATTCACATTGAGCAACATAGTCTGGACAAATAAGTGATTGAGAAATTATAAGTAATGTGAACATTGACATTAGTATGCACTGTTGTGAATGTTCACATCTATGTCTGCTTATGACAGTAATGTGAACATTCACATTATTATACATTGATGTGAATGTTCACATCATTGTATACTACTGTCAGTTGATCCATTAATGAACAGTACTGTGAATGTTCACATTATCAATGACTCAACAATCAACAATGAATTATTAATGGTCGTTAATGTAAATGTTCAGGTCATTGATGTTTATGAACTTGAATCCAAAAATAACAATAGTAATAGGGCAATGTAGATATAAACATTCACATGACTTGTTTCGTTTATATTGTTTTCTATTCACTTTGGAATATTGTGAACAGTTGTATATTAGCGTTGTGTTGTAGGTCTGTTTCCTGTTGCATTTGCGATTGTTGATTTAGAGACTATGGCCAATTGGTCATGGTTCTTGCATGAACTTGGGAAGGTTGTTAATGGTAAGCACCAGATTATTTTTATTTCGAATTGTAATCTTAGTCTATTAGAAGCAATGCCAAAGATGTTCCTATCGGCTCATCACGGTTATTGCTTACAACACTTGAAGAGCAATTTAAGAGACCGAATGAAAGGAATTGATAATGGATTCAGGGATCACCTACTAAGTAGTTTGGGTGACTATGCTTACGAGCCAACTGTGGTAGGGTTCCATGAAAAATTTACAAAATTAAAAGAGGAGGGTAAACAACGAGCACATAATTTTTTCAAGGACTTGGCACCTGAGCACTGGGCAAATTCATACTTCAGGTAATAATAGTTTCGTAAAGTGTTCCATTTGTCAAGTTTAGAATGGTAGCGATGTGAATTTCCAGTTTAGAATGGTAATAATCTTCCAATTGTGTTTCATGTTCAATGTAAATTATGTGAATGTTCACATCTGCTAATGATGACTAATGTCAATGATGTGAATGTTCACATCTGTTAATTTGTCAAACAGTCATGCAATGTATTACAGATTTGAATGTTCATATCTGTCATATTTTGTCGTTGTTAACATTCAAATCTGTCTATCATTTAAGTTGATGTTAATGTTCACTGCGAATGATGTTAATATTCACATCTGTCAACGTTAATGTTCAGACCTATTAAATTTCGTATTGTAAAATGTTTGTGATATTGTGCAGGGGCTTGCGTTATGGGGAGATGGCATCTAATGCGGCGGAGTCATTTAATAACTGGATTAAAAAAGCACGTAATCTTCCTATCACTCAAATGGTGGACATAATTCGTACTCAGTTGATGCGGCAAATGTCTGCACGGCGTGACCAAGCAAACAAATGGAATGAGCTTATTTGTCCTACATTCGAAACAAGGCTTATGGATTCGTTCAATGACAGCAGGTCTTGGCAAGTTAGCAAAGCCAATGAGGATGTGTTTGAAGTTCATTCGACACCATCTGTTACAGTTGATGTTGCAAGGCGTACATGTTCTTACTTTAAATGGCAAATCAACGGATTCTCATGTGACCATGCTATTATTGTCATTCAGAAGAGCCGCTACAATTTCAATGATTGTGTGGAACATTACTTTCATGTAGAGACATATCGTGCAGCCTATTCGGGTGTCATATTCCCTATACCATCGGTAGAGAAGCCGCCTTTTGATCCCATGGACTTCACTATATACCCACCAACTGTGAAAAGACCACCCAGAAGGCCAAAAAAGAATAGAATCCCATCAAGGGGTGAGAAACTGAAGCAAATAAGGTGCGAGAGATGTGAGAAGTTGGGGAGCCATAATCGGAAATCATGAAGGAGCCGATATAGGATGTACATTTTTCATTTCAACATTGTGTTTTACATTGGATTCTTATAGTCATTTTTAAAATAAGATTGTGTTGTGTTAGCAAGCAAAATAATAGTTTGGCAAACTTAGTATTTCATTTGTGTTTTTTCTTTTTCTTTTTGGGTACGAAACTGATATTTTGTTAAAGTTATAATGATGAGTACATGATGTAGACATTCACACTTACGTAAAAGAATCATATTATATGAAAACTTGCATATGGGTTGAATTTTTTTACCTTATTGTTGTCAATGTTGTCATGAATATAAGCTGTGATGTGAACTTTCACATGCATAGAGACTGACATGGTGTGAACATTCACAATTGTTATGAATGAAAAGAAATGTGAATATTCACACCTCTGTATGCTATCCATAATGATGTCATGCAAACAATGTGTACATTCCTGCACAAAGTATGTGTATTACAGAAAAATCGGGTTCCAAAAATCGCATCAATTATGCTCATCACAATACGGTATTATGAATATCATAAGTGAATATGAACATTCACATTATTATAGTAACTGTGCACATTCACATCTGCAAAACATTAGTGCATATGAATATCATAAGTGAATGTTGACATTTGGCAGAGAAGAATAACATTCACAACTGTTATAAACAAGAACAAATGTGAATATTCACACATGTGTATGTGATCCGTAATGATGTCATATAGACATTTCTGCAGAAAATATGTGTATTATAGAACAATCGGGTTCAAACCATCGCATAAATTATGCTCATCACAATATAGCAGTATGAATATCATAAGTGAGTATAAACATTCACATCAGTGTTACAACTGTGAACATTCACATCTGTAAAACATTAGTGCATATGAATATCATAAGTTAATGTTCACATTTGGCAAAAAAGAATACCATTCACAACTGTTATGAATAAGAACGAATGGGAATATTCACATGTGTATGTGATATGTAATTATGTCATGTAGACCAAGTGTACACTCCTGCACAAAATCTGTGTATTATAGAACAATCGGGTTCAAACAATCACATAAATTACACTCATAACAACACAGCAGTATGGATATCGTAAGTGAATTTGAACATTCACATTAGTGGTGCAACTGTGAACATTCACATCTGTAAAACGTAACAACACCAAAGGTAGTTCAAAATTCGCAGGTGGCTTTTTCCCATTAATAGATATTGTATCACTGTTTTACATTCAGTTATTGTGTCAAAATGTCAAAGCATTCCATATTAACATTCATATCGAGTGTTGGTTAGTTTGTAGGTGGACACCCCTCACCTATAAGTTTTAATGAAACTCTGATTTCTTATGATTCAAAAAATTATGTACTAACAAATCTCGTAGTCCACACCATTCTGAACTAGTGAGGCTGCCCACAATTTCTTCATGGTATATGTGCGCCCGCATGATGTAGCATACTGCAGGTCCGCAGTCCTTTGATTAGCAGTTGACATGTATGTTTGCATAATGGTTATGGAGGATTTGTAAAAAATGTATGTTTGCATAATGGTTATTGAGGCTTACGAGTCGTCGCCTTGCTGAGGACAGACATCAACTGCTATGATTGGTTGTGTTGGATTTTGGCCTACTAACTTAGTGCATAGCGGTGATGACTCGCCAATAACGCGCACAACATGCTCGATGTACTTCCTCTGTGTAGAGAATTTCAAATTAGGCACCAACAAACATATGTGTGTGTACAGTCATTTAATGCATGAGAACAAGTCATATTTGTGATAAAAAATAGCCACTTACAACTTCTTGTGCTTGGTCGATATGCGAGTCATGTATGCCTATCCTTGGACGCAATGAGTTGTAATGCCTCCACAAATTGTCTTTAGCATCATACACAACTATCATCCAGTGGTACTTATGATGCAATGGGAATAGTAGGTATCTCTCTCCTTGGTAGTTTTTGACATGTGCATCAATGTGTTTACTCCTTTTGCAAGGATGGTACTCTCATATCACTTTCTGTACACATTAGACAAGTAATTAATGGACTGATAGATTTTACGAAACACATGCTCGTGAAGATGAATGACGCTTCATCCGAAGTTGGGTTGACCACCTCTTGTTATTCATGTAATAGTTCGGCATATGCATCTATGAGCTGCACAAACATGGGGTCATATTATATTATTTGTGGTAGGTGAAGAATGTGTGTCTGTGGCTGTAGGTGTGTGTGTGTCTCTATCCGTATATGCGTGAAGAGTGAATCATGTTTGTAATGGCATACATTGCTGTGTATCGATTCCTCCTTGATAAGGTTAAGAATGTCATCAAAATACACATGTGTAGCCTTTGAATCTCCTTTCTACACCAGCAGCCTGTACATTATGAACAAACCAATGTGAATATTTACATTGCACAGATCTAAACAAACCAAAACAAATAAGCACAGTGATGAATATTGACAATTATGGAATGTGAATGTTAACATTAGGTGTTTGTACAGCCACTTACTCATCGCCTCCACTCTTTTGTAAAGCTTGGACCTTTTGCTTGTCTTGTTTGGACATCTTGCTCCAGACTTTGAACTTGTTGGTCAAGGTTAATTTTTTTGGCTGCTTCGCTGGTGGGTGTTTCTCCGCATCTTCAACTATTTCGACTGTATGGGTCTACTTTTGGCCAGGTAAGTCTGGGTACTGGAAGTCAGGCAAGCGATGTTCTTTTCGATCTTTTTCCTTTATACGCTTCACCCTAGAAGGTAGGCTGATATTGTGTTGCATTGGGCTAGGGGGTTGCTTCTGTGCCACAGCCTATGTGACAATGGGGACTGACTGGTCATCGTAAAGGTCTTCAAGAATTGTTTTCTCACATTCTAAGTCGATGACCAGCTGCGTTAAGTGTTTTATTTCTTCGTCCTTCTGCTCCATGCACTTTTTTATTTCGGTATTCATGTTGGGTGGGCTGGACTGGTTGAACAATTTATGTTCAAGATCAGCCATGACTCTTGCCCTTAACTACTATGAAAATTGAAAGTGTTTGTACTTTGCTTCCTATTGCCTTATGACGCCCCAAGCCTTCCTATTTTCTTTGATAAACACATCAATGAAATCAAGTTGTTTTGTATTTGGTATGACAATAGCTCTATCATCATATGGGCTACTGAATGGAATGTGAATGTCCTCATCACTGTCCTTTAGCTCCACCCCATCCCCAGAAAAGTGGGAGTTGCTACCATTGTGTTGTTCTTCCTTGATGTCAGATAGGTTGGGAGATGTTGTAGTTGGTTCATAAATTTCGGGTTCCATCTTCAATGTTTTACACTTGAACTTTTGTAATTCTGTTGGGATTGCAAAGAGTTCACCGGCATTAAATTGAAAATTAAAAAATTATGTTACTTAACGTATGTATTTGGGTGGTGTTATAATGTGAATGTTTTGATCAGTAGTTGAAGGCCCTACCTCATTAAAACCCAAATCAGCCAAAGAGGTGGTTTTCATCTTCTTTTGTAAAGCAGTCAGATCTCACTTCACACAGCGAGGAAAAGCATTGGGCTTGTGAGGTTGTAGGATAGTTGTGTGCTCACACAACCAATACTTCAATAAAACAACAAACACATATTGTTATTTACCATTTGCATAGTAATGTCAACATATGTGAACATTAATAACAGTGGCACTGTTGTGAACATCGCAGTAATATATTATGAGTGAATGTGAACATTCACATCAGTGGTTCAGATGTGAACATTCACATCTATGAAACATAAGTGCCTATGGACATTCACATCAGTGGCACTGTTGTGAACATTCACAGTAGTATATTATGAGTGAATGTGAACATTCGCATCAGTGGTTCAAATGTGAATATTCACATCTGTGAAACATAAGTGCCTATAGACATTCACATCAGTGGCACTGTTGTGAATGTTCACAGTTGGCTTAGATGAACAACACTGAAGGACATGTGAATGTTATTATTTGACAACATGGGTACTTACCATCAATAACATGACACGGCCGGTGACTTTTGCTGGCTTCTTGTCATTTTGGAAAATGGACGATGTCAACGTTGTTCTAATTTGGTTGGCTCAATCATATTCTTGCATGCTTTCCAATGGGACCATATGTGCGTAGTAGCCCCATCCTATTGTCTCTCCTCTTGTTGAGAAAAAAATCTTTTGGCAAGCATACATGCACACTAGTTGGGCGACTTCTTCGTTGTCATCTTTCTTTTTACCTTTCAATGCCTCGATCAAAAGGGTGCATATCCATTTTGAAGTCAGCCGGCTGACATTTTTGCATCTTTTGTTTATAATGCCAATCTTTGGTTTCGCACCATATGATATGTCTATCGGCTTGCTGCCACAGTCCACACCAAAAATCAGCTTGATGTCGCTGTTGTGTATGTTCATCTTCTTCTCCCCAATGTAGAAGGTATCTTTTGAAGCTTTGTACATTTGTAGGACATGCACAACAACATCATCATACTTCATGCATTTGTCAAGGTCGATCTTATTATATCTCAATGCATCTAACAAATTCCAAAATGGTGTTTGTTGCAAGCAGCCAAGCTGTACTTGTGTGAACTTGGTGCTTTTCATTAATTTCACCAGTCCGGTCATGTTAGATCTATAGTTCACATGGCACATGTCGACATTGGTGCTAGTATTTGTTTGTGGGTTTTCTTCCTTGACATTGTACTCATCTCTCTTTCTCTTTAAGGTTTTCTTTTGTGTAATATCTGCAAAATGGAGCATTTTAAAAAAATTAAGTCAAGGCTCATGTGATTAGCATAGTGGAACAAATGTGAACATTCACAGCATTGCCACTGATGTGCATGTTCACAGTTGTGTGCATGGGTATGAATGACCAGATTTTGTGTGTGGATGTGAACATTCACATCTATACATGGATGTGTATGTTGACTGTGTCAGCACAAACACAATGTACATATTGTGTGAGTATGTGAAAAATAATGTATTTTTATACAACCATGAACACCATTGAAGAACATGTGAATGTTAACACAAACATATAAAATGATGGATCAACTTATTGGATCACCATTAACAATCAACAATACCAACAAGGCAAACATTCACAATAGGGAGAAAAAAATGTAAATATCCCTACTCATTGGCCCAACATTTTCAATCCATGTAAATGTTCACAATATAGAACAACAGCACCAATAATATATGATTTTCAAAAAAAATTCAGTCAATGTGAATGTTCACATCTTTCTACAACAAGAACA